GCCAAACTATGCAAAGAGCCTAGATGTCCATCAACAGACGAATGGATAAAGAAGATGTGGTATATATATATATATACACAATGGAATACCATGCAGCTATCAAAAAAATGAAATCTTGCCATTTGCAAGAACATGGATGGAACTAGAGGGTATTATGCTAAGTGAAATAAGTCAATCAGAGAAAGACAATTATCATATGATCTCACTGATATGAGGAATTTGAGAAACAAGGCAGAGGATCATAGGGCAAGGGAGAGAAAAATGAAACAAGATGAAACCAGAGAGGGAGACAATCCATAAGAGATTCTTAATCTCAGGAAACAAACTGAGGGTTGCTGGAGTAGACTGGGGTGGGAGGGATAGGGTGGCTAGGTGATGGACTTTGGGGAGGGTATGTGCTATGGTGGTGCTGTGAATTGTGTAAGACTGATAAATCACAGACCTGTACTCCTGAAACAAATAATACATTATATGTAAATAAAAAATAAAAAATTAATTAATTAATTTTAAAAAAAGAATGTGCTGATGGGCAAAGTGTATTTTTTAAGGCATGGTGAATATATATTGGTACAAATGATTAGCATGAGTAACAAAACTGCTCAAAGTATATGCTCCACTATGTTTTGCGTAAAAGTAGCATCACATCATAACATTGACAGTTCCAAATTCTATCCATACTCTCTAATTATATCCACTAAAAAAATAGCTGTTGGGAGTTGTTTTTTTTTTAAGTATAATACTCATGACTCTAATCATCTGTTTCATGCTATCTTAGAATATAATGACAAAAAATATTCACTTGTTATTTTTTCCTTTATTTTTTGTGAGGATAATGTAGCATTTTTTAATTTAATGTGACACTATGTGCCTGTATCACAACCTGCTATGTGCTGTTTGAGAAGTAATTTGTTAAAGTGTTAAAACTTGGCAATGATTTACAAAGGAGAGTAGATTCAGAGTTAGTCATTTTCATTTACTTCCATTCAGTTACCTATTCAAGGACTAACAAGAAAGAGTTGGAGTTGTAAATAACTTGTGAACTATCTAACCCCCAGTCCATCTTCCCTATAACCTCACCCATATCTAGGAAAATCTGTGAAGTCTGTGGACATCGGACTAGTGTACCACTGAAGAAAAAAGGTCAGTGATCTAACAGGTGTCTTTTATAAATTCTCACAAATCAATCTTTATACATTCATATTTCATCCCTTATCAACTTGAAAATTTTAAAGATTGTATTCTCCCTGAGGTATCATTTCCTTTGCTCATCCTAGTTAATCCAGAATTTATATTCTTCTGTGGTTTTTAGATCATTAAGTCTTTTTTTTTTAAGATTTTATTTATTTATTTGAGAGAGAGCAAGAGAGGGAGAGAGAGAGCCTGAGAGAGAGTGAGAGTGGCGAGCAGGAGTGGAGGGGAGGGGCAGAGGCAGAGGGAGAAGCAGACTCTCCTGCTGAGCAGGGAGCCCGACATGGGGCTCGATTCCAGGACCCTGGGATCATGACCTGAGCCAAAGGCAGATGCTTAACCTATTGAGTCACCCAACACCCCTAATCATTAAGTTTTTTTTTTAAGATTTTATTTATTTATTTGACAGAGAGAGAGAGACACAGCGAGAGAGGGAACACAAGCAGGGGGAGTGGGAGAGGGAGAAGCTGGCTTCCCGCTGAGCCTGATGTGGGGCTCGATCCCAGGACCCTGGGATCATGACCTGAGATGAAGGCAGACACTTAATGACTGAGCCACCCAGGAGCCCCAATTAAGTCTTGATATAATTCTTTCTTCCTCCATTCCAATCAACCTACCATGGGGGGGGAGAGGAATTTCTTTATGCTTTATTCCTCAGTTCCTCTGTACTAATGGGCCAGTTTTAAAGAGTATCTTTAACCCATTGGCCTTGAAACCAGAAAAGGAAAAAAAAAAAAGATACAATCAAACTGTATCACTGTAACTCTGAAAAACAAAAACAAAAACAACAAACAAACAAAAAAACACTAAGAAAGAGAGGATGAGCCTGAAACTAGAAATTACACCATTTGGGCAATTCTCAACATTGCCAAATTGTCTGACAGCAATTAGACAACATATTCTCCCTTCCATTCTCTCCCTGAACCTTAGGGGATAGAAACTTAAGAACTACATTTCCCCAAATCCCTGCCAGCAAAGCTAGAGTTGTATTCCACAAATGAGAGATACATGAATTCTGAAAAGCAAAAGAGAAGTGAAAGGCATTGTTGAGTCTATGGTTAGAGAAGGGGGCAGGATGATGGGCTTAGCAGGAGACAACAAGATTTTTTTAATTGAAATCTCGTTGACACATATTACATTAGTTTCAGATGTACAACACAGTGTTTGGACAAGTCTATATGTTATACTATGCTCACCACAAGTGTAGCTACCATCTGTCACCGTACAAAGCGATTACAAAACCATTGACCATATTCCCTATACTATACTTTTTATGTCTTGACTTATTCATTCCATAACTGGAAGCCTATACCTCCCATTCCCCTTCACTCATTTTGCCCATTTCCTACCACCCTCCACTAAAGCGGGCATCAGTTTGTTCTCTGTATTTATGGGTTTGCTCCTGCTTTTTGTTTGTTTTGTTTTCTAGATTCCCTATACAAGTAAAATCATATGGTATTTGTCTTTCTCTGTCTGACTTATTTCACTAGACATAATACCCATCCATGTTGTCACACATGGCAAAGTCTCATTATTTTTTATGGCTGAGTAATATTCCTCTGTGTGTGTGTGTGTGTGTGTGTGTGTGTGTGTGTGTGTGTGTGTCCATTCACCTATCAACAGACATCAGGAAGCAATAAGATTTTAATAGATACATAATTATAATTATAATTGCAGCCATTGGAGTGAATACATTGACTCACGTTCATGTACAGAAAGGAAAGAGAGCTAAACTGTCTAGGAGTCACCATTATTTTCCTTTTTTTGGTTGTGTCAAAGGCCTACTATTTCATCTTGTACAGAAACTCTGATATAAAATATCACACAATTTCTCTAGTTTCCCAAAGTCTTTTTATTTCAACAGATAAAATCACTACATAAAAAGATATTTTGTTAATGGGTTAACAGAATTAATTAGATCACATATATTAATGGATCATTAATTGGATTCTAATAATTTACTACTACAACTGGTGATACAGTAACATACACATTTCCTACAGGGTAAGAACTCTCCAAGAGGGAAAGACAACCCTTTTAACCACAATTATCTATTAACATCTTAAACAAAGTAACTGCTATTTAAAGGACAAAAAGCTTCTTCTTGGATAGTTACGTCAAGTCCAACAGAAAAATCAATTCATCCATTACATGATATATTACATATATATATTATTTTTTGTTTACTTCTTACTTTTTTATTGTTTTTATTCTTTTTCAGTATTCCACTGAAGCCCATGTCAAGTCCACATCAAGAGCTTTACTTCTTCATTGGAAATAATTCAACAAGAGCCATAGTATGAATTTTAAATATATCCATAAAATGAAACTCTCCAGTTCATAAAGTTAATATTTGTAACTAAATGTAATATTCATATTGAAGCTTTTTAAAATTTAAGAAATCAATTCACAAATTCAGTCATACTGACAAAATGTGATTACAATAAATCTTCTTTAACAGCATCCAAAGAAGTACAAATATTTTAACATCTCAGTGAGTTTTCATAAACATACTAGGGTTTTAGGCATCTTTGATTGGGTAGTATCGAAATAAAAATTGTGTTCCAAAAATCATTCAATGAAAAATAGTATAGCATCTACACTCCACTGTTTATAGGTAAAATTTTGTTATGTATATATTTATAAGTTATCCAAAATACATAGCTAACTATTTTGAGAGGAAGATAATTAATGTTTAAATTTGGTCCAAATAGAATGTTTGCAAAGTGTAATGAATGCAATGTTTTTAATATCTCTTACCAGGTGGTTCCATTTTGATGAAATTATATTGTTTTATTAATTCTGAATGGGTCCATGGAAGATGAATTTCAAAAAATAACACTGCAGTGTTCTGTAAACACATCAGAGCTATGTATCTATGCAAAAACTGCTTACAAATAACCACAAAATGTCACAAAATGCCACAAAAATTATTTCCTAATCGGAATTCATTTTTAGTGAAGACAAACTCAGCTCTAACATAGGAATAATACATGTTCCAAAAGATACAACAATTAGAAGTGATTAAAAGTTTTGAGCTGTATGCTTATTTGTTAGGTAAATAGTATCTATATAAAGTAGTCACAATTTGAAATGAGAAGCTACATGACCGTTTACATTTCTATAATTCTGAGAATTCCAGCCTTCTATTCCGATTTAAAGAAAGTTTTCACTAAATGTGCATTTGGTTTTAAGAACAATTGGCTAACTGAACGTTAAAGATTTCCCCCATCACTGGCCAAAATACTAATTATATAGCAAATTTCAGCTTATTTCCTGGAAGTCGTTCAAATACTTGGTAATGCTCCCTGAAGGATTGGTCCATAGGAAGAATAATTAAAAAAAAATACAATAAAGAAGAGCCTGTGGCTCCCTAGGGAAATTAATTTTGGATAGTCTTTTCCTCAGATGAGGGGGCAGTGAGCAGCACATCACCCCCCCGTCGACGCCCTAATATGATTTGAAAGGCAACTTATTTAGCCACCACTTTTTAGCAATGCTGATAATGCCAATTCCTTGTTCGGGTACCCTTCATTCTGGGAAGTAGTCAAAAGTGTCCCTCTCTGCTTTTACTCAGACTTTGACCAGCCATCCAAGCAACTGTAGGCGAACTGTATGTTGTATCTTTGAATAGGAGTCTTTTCACCAAGGCTTTGCCACCCAGGTTTCCACAGATTCTACTGCAGATGCTTCCATTCAGATCCTCCTTTTCTTCCTTGAAGTGGGAAATCAGGATGCACCTGGGAGTTCTCCTCAACCAGATTTATAGCTCTGGTCAGAATTCAGCTACCAATTTTCATACCAGAGCTTCCTTAGACGCTGGTAGCCTCCGTGAAAGAGTCCTGGGGGCCATTGTTCTTTTTGACTTCCAGGTTCTTTTTAGTCTTGAATGTCACAGACACCTCAGAGTGGATGGCATCCAACCTCTGCTCACAGTGGAAGGCTGCGAGGAAAGCCTTTCTATAGTTGCTGTTCATCCAGCCATAGAGGAGGGGGTTGGCAAAGGTGGAACACATGGCGATAATGTGGAACACGGTGAAGATGAGTTTGTACTCCTTCAGGTCAAGGACATGGTTGTCGATGTCCACAGCAAGCTGGAAGGCGTGGAGAGGCAACCAGCTGACCGCAAACACCACGACCACACACACCAGCATTTTGGTGGTTTTCTGCCTTCGCTGATGGTAGTGATCGTTGGAAGCTCCAGGGCTCATATGGTTCTTGAGTTTACTCCAGATACGGGTGTAGGAAAAGGATATGATGCCCAGAGGCAGCACATACAGGATTAACAAGGAAGAAAGACTGTAGACAGTGCCATAGATGTTCTTCTCCTCACCAGGCCACTTCTCTGTACAGACCACAATCTCAAAGTCAGGAATAATCTCAATCAGCGAATACTCGCGGAAGATGGCCAGGGGGCTGGCTAGCAGGGCGCTGATGCCCCAGGCCATGCCAATAATCAGGAAGCTGATTCTCTTGGAGATCTTGCTCTCCAGGTGGTAGACGATGCAACGGTGCCGGTCCAGGGCAATGACTGTCAAGGTGATGGTGGACACTTGTACTGCCAGGCCCTGGGCATAGGGAACCAGGTGGCATAGGACAAGACCCATTTTCCACTCCCCCATTAAGGTGTAGGTAAGAGTGAATGGCAAGCACAGGGTGTTCACCAGAAGATCTGCCACAGCCAGATTGGCAATGAAAAAGTTGGTTACTGTGCGCATGCTCTTGAATTTGATCACCACATGAATCACCAAAGAGTTTCCAATTACCCCAAGCAAGATGATGGAGCAATAAGCTAATATGAGGATAATCCGTACCTCAATCAGCATGGTGCTGTCTATAAGCTCTGGCTCAGGGTCGGGGGCCAGCTCACCTCTGGGAGTGGTTTGCCATGGATGATACTTCTCCACCTTCATTTCGTCCACTGTCTGGTTCTCATCAGCCTCTGCACCTACTGGGCCCATTTTCAGCAACTAGAACAAGAATCTACAACTAAAAAAACGAAGAAGAAGAAGAAGAAATATGGAACAAGGAAAACATAAGGGTGACACGAAGGAATATCACAAATGGATTGGTTTCATTTTGATTAGGGCTCAAAATACCTGTCCCCTGATCCCTAAAATTGCACATAGAGCAACATTTTAATAAAGCAGGCCCATTAATAAGTCTATTCACAAATATGGATGAATTAAACCAGGTCCCTGAAACGTATATTACAATGGTAAAATGTAATACCTATAGTATAGACATAATTTCAGTGTGAATGCTACCAAATTGAGTCAATCTGTTTTAAGTGGGATGAATGTTAGAAACTTTACCAGTTAATTTTATAACTTCTATAAACTCATCAAATTAATTTTAAGGTAGGCAAAGAAAATGGCCTGATTCAATACCTTGACTGCTTTAAATTTATAAATATAGCAACAAATTGCATAGAAAAGAGAAAAATATTGAAACCCTTTGCATGGTGCCTGGACTTTGGGAGTATAACATATTTAAGATAAACTGAGCAGATTCCATTCCATAGCCATTGCTTCTAGTGTTTGGGTTAGTGTTAAAAATAGGTAGCCTGTGTAAAGCAGCTGCATTTTTTGATGATCTGAAATCAACTTCCTACTGACATACAACAGAATCCCACACAGGATCTATACGAAAAGTATGTCCAAATCTGAAGTATATCTCTCTCTAACCTCTAAATATCAAAGTTTTGATACTTTTCTTCCCCAATTACAGCCCCCCCCCACAAGACTTTTCCTTCTGCATGCACTACTCCAGTCAATGCTATCCCCATGGATTACACCAGGTAAAGATAAAAAGCAGGTAGCCCTTCTAGGCTCGGTCAACACCTTTAGCCCCCACATCTAAGAGAACCCTCAGACTGATCTGATACCTCTCTCAATGGTCCTCATTATTTCTACCACAATGACTTTGTCCTTCTCGATTTCTTACCACAATTACTCTAATAGTCTTGTGACTTATCTCACTTCCTCTTCTCCTGCTTTCATTCATCCATTCATTCACTTGACAATAATAATTGAGTATCTGCAAAATGCCAGGCCTGGTTCCACCCTTGTGATCCTTGCACCTACTCTAACATGCATTTAGCAAGCATTTAAAAATCTATGTCAAGAACCTGGGATTTGTGCTGGGGGAATGACAACAGGATAGAGTCTCCACTCGCAGGCTCTTACCTTTGATAAGAAAGAGCATACTCTGACATTAAAATGGTCTTTCTGAAATTCAGATGTGATCATATCATTTCCCCCAGGTCTCCGGACTGCTTAAAACAATATAATATATTGGTTTCTAATGTGAAATTCTCTTTTCCAGCTTGTAAGAACATCCAGAGCCCAACATCATAGTAAGTTTTGAATGTGGTCATAATGACAAAAGGCTGCCACTGTTAATTCAGAACTTTTTAAAACAAATTTGGTTTTTATTAATCATAATGGCATCTACCTACATTGGTAGATGAGTCATATTTATTTAGCCCACAGACAATGTCTGGGTGGGCCCTCAGCTCCATCCCTTACCCTTCCTCTGGAGAGCTAACTCTTGCAGACTGTCTTTTCAGGCTCCCAAGTCATCGGGACGCTGGCTGAGTTTGATCATGGGAAGCATTGGCAGGTAATTAGAGGACAGAGGGAGGGAGAAGCCTCTGTCTTCTTCTCCCTCCCTCTCTTCTCTGGGAAGTGCCTCAGTAGCCTCTCTGTGGCTCTGGTTCCCACAGGACTAGTCCATAGTGATTTTATTTCCAGTGGAAGGCCCTAATCCCTGGGCTTTGGTCACACCAAATACTCCCTGTATCCCTCTGGCTGGGGTGGTAATGACTTTTTGCTCTTGCTAATCCTTGAGTGGCCTCAACATCCTCTGTTCAGCTTCCATCACTTGTGTAATCAATTCTCTGCATTTAATTTTCCCTCCCTTACATTCTGGAACAGGTTCTGTTTTCCATGATCTGTTGATACCATGCGTACATGCTGTCATTAATTTGCTCTCCCACTAGTAGTTCTGCACATAGAAGTTGATAACACTGGCCTACAGAAGATAATCCCAACTCCATTATATGACATTCAAAGCTTTTCTTGAACACATTCCTGCCTATCCTCTGGCTTCATCTCTCCTGACATATCAATGCATATGTTATGCCTTAGTCATACTAAACTGTTTCCAATTCCAGCAGTGCGTCAGCTTTTCTCATGCCTCTCTGCTTTCCCTGTTCTCAACTGGGAAGCCTCTCAGTTACCCCAACAATCTGTGTTCACTTCTAATACTGCAAGAAGCATAAGCCAAAACGCAATTATTTCCCCACTACAGCCATCTCTTTCAGAACAGAAACCAGATCTTTTCCATCCATTGTTTAATCCTTAGCACAGTATCTAACACATTAACAGTATTCAATCATTTGGCAAAACAAATGCAAAGCTAAAGGAAAGCATAATTTTACTGAATACTTGAAGTCAGCAAAATACAAAGTAACGATTCCTTTCCTTTCCTTAAGATAATTGCCTGTACGTAATTCCTTGCTCTGATATGACATCCTCGTGCTTATTTTCTGGTTCTTAGGTAACCACCCTTTCGAGAAAGTTGTTCCAAGGTCCCTCTTAATTCAATCCCTGATTAGAGCATTAAAAACTTCCAGTCAGTATACACCATAAGGAAACTTCCTATCTCAGGGGCCTATCAAACACACACACAAACACACACACACACACACACACACACACACTCTTACAGGAGCCTTATTGCAGAGAGAGAGAGAGAGAGAGATTTCCCCATATATTCATATATTGGCTTTACTGATATATTCTAGTTCTGTCTGCATAAATTTCAAATAACATGTTCCAAAGAGCCTAGACCCTCTTTTGTATTTGCCTCTATTCTCTAGAAATTAGAAAAAAAAAGTGAAACTAATTATCTAAATCTTGCAGTGTATATTTGGTAGGCTCTATCATTCCCCCTAACCTCAGCACAATTAGTCAATCCTAACTCATTAACAGGATTAACAAGACTCCATGAGGTCTGAGTTTGAGGTTTGCCACAAGCTAAATTGAGAGTAAGCCTAAGAGAGAAGAATATTAGTTTATTTATTAACTTATTTTGTTTTTTCTTTTCAGTCCCGTTTTCTTTATTTTAGAGCCCTTTTATTTAAAGCTTCTCTGCAGGAATGATTATTGATCTACAGGCAATTTGCATATGGACACTTATCACAGTTCTCAAGCACACTGCAGGCTTTCAGCCAGGTCAGAGCACTCCCTAGAGAATGTATCATTTTATGATTGGGCTTCTGGAAAAGTGGAAGAGGAAAAGAGAGTACATAAAGGGAGCTGACTGATTCAAAACTCAAAAGCACAACAATTAAAAGATACGTAGATGAGGGAAAAACCTTTCTTTGAAACAAAGCAATAGAAAGCATTCACATGGGTCAAATCAATTTAGAACTCTGGTAGAGTTTTCTTGAATAAGTGAATCTTCAGAGTTTCTGTTATAGAAATATTTCCTTGTAGAATAGGAAAATGACTTCAGTCTTCTTTTTTCAGAGATAAAGAACTTCAAATTACCTGAGTGGGAAACCAGTTTCTGCTTTAGCTGTATATTTAAATTTGCAGGGCCTTTTGCAACAGAACTCTTATTACCACAGGCTGGCCTTAGTAAAACTTAACATCTTGCCAATCACAAAACCTTCCAGGAGTGTTTGCCAGGGAAAAATCCCAGAGATCATGCCACACACCCCATACTTAGTCCTAGGGAGAAGGCAGTGGACTCCAAGAATGCTACATCCAAGACATGACTGCTTCATAAGCAGAAAGTTGAAGCTATTCACCTAAGGGTCTGCTAATGGATCATGTACCCTGTGTTTGAACTTCTGGCCTTTCCTTGCCAACAGCATCATCTATTTCATGTCACTGAGTTTAAATGATGTGACCCTTTGCAAAACGTCTTAAAGCTTTTACTTTTGCCTCCTCCTTGTGCACCATATGCTCCTACCCAGTGGGTGAGCCCTTCTGGTGCAAAACTAATGAATGCTTAAATAAATGTACTTATTCTTGAACAGCGTTGGAGAATCCAATATAACCTTCTGCTTTAGACAGGTGTTTGATTTTTTTTTTTTTTTAAGAGACAGAAACAGTAACAACTTGCTGCTCTGGAAAGATGATGACCTCTCTCTAAGAAGGTCAAGGAAAGAGTAAGAACCTTCAGCAGAAAAGGAAAATTCTAGCTAAAGTAGAAAATAGTGATGGTATCAACCCAACCCCCACCTTCAACTGAAGTGAGAGGGGAAAAAGAAAGTCCTCACACTCATGAGGATCTCCCTTATATCCTCTTCATAGGACCAGAGTTCTTCTTTTGGGGATATTCTCGTTCCCAGAATGTGAATCAGAGTTAGAACTTACACTTACTTACCTGGCCCTGGCGTTTCTGCTGAGATGTGGAAGCAAGACGTGTGCAGCCCGGCCGTGCGATGACTATCTAGCCCTCTGATCCGAAGAGGGTACTGGAAGGTCCCCAAAGGCAAGCCGAGCTGCGTCCGTTCCGACGGGGCAGGACCGCCAGCGCCGCGCGGAAGAGCACCCGAGCCACTGGGAGGGGGCGCTGCTCGGCTCTGCAGCCGACCTCTGCGGCCGAGCGCGCTCGGGCACCGCACTGCGCCGCGCACGGCCGCGGGTTGAGCCGGAGAGCAAGAGAGGCCGGTGGGGGGCGGGGGCACGGAGGTGGTGGCTGAGGCAACTCTTCCCTGAAGGAAAAGAAACAGGTGCAGAAGGTTGGGGGCGACGGTCCCGCCGCGCCAAGGGCTGGACGGAAGTTTCCGTGGCGAGGCAGGGGGACAGCGTCCACGGTGTCGCCTCTGCCTCCGGGTTTGGAAGCCCGCGCGGCGGGACCCTACTCAGCGCGGCGCCCCCTCGCGGATCCCCACTACCACCTGCAACTGCTACTTTCACCCCAATTCTCGGGTGACCCCCAAGTG